ACTAACAATTTTGAAATTTTTCTTTTCTTTCTTGTTGACCTACAAACATAAAAAGAAGTACACTACATTTTCAGTGAATAGTTATGAACAGTGATTTACCAAAACACGCGTCTAACGTTGTTATACATTTTCGAATGTGTGAATAAAATATCAATTGGTGTTGCGAAAAAAAATTGCTTTTCTATAAAATTTTCACCACCTGTTTGAACGCTGTTCTGTACATCCAGAATGACACGTACTGCTGTTTTAATCCTTTTTTTCAGAAAGGACCAATTTGCCTTCTTTACGCTTGTTATGTTTTACAAAGACGCAGAAGATTCTGAAAGGGGTGAAAAAATGCCAAACATGCTGTAAATATGTCACACTGTGCAAAATTAGGCGTCCCCCCCCCCAGAAAAAAATCCATTTTCGGTCCATATTCGAACAGGTTCTTCAACCTGTGTTTATCGAATCGGTTCAAACAATCGAGACGGCACGTAGTCATCGTTGCTGAAAATACTTCATGGCTGGTTTATCCGATGCGATAATAACAGGCTATGACGACATGTTCGACTACTACGCATAATCATAATTTACGAATGTTTCCCATCATTCTTTTGGTATTCCATCCAGTTGCAATATCAAATAAACAAAATTATCATAGAAAAATGCAGAAACGCAACGGATACCAGGACGATCTTATGTCCATCCTTAGATGACACCGAAGAGTCTAAAGATAAAAAATTACTCCGAACAAATAAAAATGTCCAACCTCATGTATTTTTGTTTTGTTTTGTGTAACAAATCTAACGACATATTTCAAGAGGTGAATAGCCTACTGTAAAACTAGGAAAGTAAAATCATCGTCGTTAAGATAAGAGTCACAGGACACATATGTATGTTATGTCAAATTATCTCTGTACTCGAGCTTGTAGGCTGTTATCTTCGAACCATGGTAAAGTGCGTAAGTTACTTTCTTCTTTCTCACAAATGGAGACACATAGGCATTATTGTAAGCAAATTATAAGCAGCATAAAAATGTATTTTCTCCCTCGCCAGATTAATCTCATTACAAAGAGATATTTTTTTAAAATTTATTTGTAGCCTATAGAGATTTGTACATATTACAAATGTTTATTATACATGTGTGGTGTTTAGTGACCGTTAGTTGATGATTATTTTGAGATCATGAGATGCGGTCTGGTGTGATGTAGGTTTAGAAAAACCATTCCATAACAATCTCTACCCTAAACACATAATTAATAGAACAATCAACAATTACAACTCAACACTAACACCATCCACTATTACTAATAATACTAGATTAAATCTATCGAATACAAACAAACCAGCATACATTTCCATACCTTTATTCAAGGCCTATCACACAAATTAAACACATTTCTCTTGTCCGATAACTTCAAAATAGCTTTCAAAAATTATAAAACAATTCAAACACTTTTTTCCAAAATTAAAGATCCCACACCAATAACAAATAAATCTGACGTAATCTACAAGATCAACTGTTTAAACTTGCCGGCAACTTACATCGTACATCCCAATATCTGGACAAGAAAGTAAAGCAACATATCTATGATTGCAAAAAACCCAAGCAAAATCCTACAGCACTCGCTACCCACCATTTTGAACATCAACACAATTTCGACCTCAAAAATCCAAAAATATTACATACAGAACAAAACAGATATAAACGTAATTTCTTAGAAATGGTTTATATTAACAGAGATAAACACAGCATCAATACACAGAACAGATACATGTAAACTCAGTCGCAGCTACGCCAATATCATTAATCACATTCAATACAGATAGCATATCTGTATCATCACATTACATTCCACACATCAAATATTTTTCACATAGTCTAATTTCCCAACAATTCAGCTTTCCTTTTTCTATTTATCCCTTTCTATGTAATCCTGAAAGGATAATCTGGCCGAACCATTACCAACACATTTTTTCCCTTCATCGCTCCTTTCACCTCAAAGAAGCCGACGCCTTATACAAAAATGTCTTTTCTATACCGACATCCTTCCCCACCCCTTCAAAATCCAATGTATATAAACACAAAATAGCAAAATCTCACTGGCACTCTCGACACGACACGCAAGAATGGCACAATTACACAGAAGACAAACACTTTGAGTGAGTAGAAATACTTTGATTGAATATATAAAATATATTTTGCATTGTATAAATTCACTTTTCCACATCCAAAATGTAATTGTAATATGTAAACAATGTTTGTAAATCCGAGGCCCTGAAGATGATCTCAATAAAGATCGAACGTTGGCACGACAAAGAAAATGTTTTTCTGAAACCTACATCACACCAGACCGCACCTCACATTTCTAAATAAATATCGATCGGTCACTAATCACCACACACACGTTTAGAAAAACATTTTCTTTATCGTACTAACGTTTCGATCTTTATTGAGATCATTTTCAGGGCTCAAAGTGTTTGTTTTCTGTGTAGATGTGTCATTATTGTGTGTCGTGTTGAGAGTGCCCTAGTTTATTATACTATTGTAAAAATCAGCGTACGTTTTTCTTTTTAACCGATTACAGCACTAACACTAAGGCCAGCGTTGCACCCGAAGGGCACATGCCAATTTATAGTACAAATATAATCGGTTGATTGCCGAACCTAGCGATCTTACAAAGGTCAAATGAAATTAATTCACTAACTTGGCCAAATTGGCCGATCTTTAAACTTTACATGCTATATCTCTTTCCAGGTGTACAGGATTTAAAATAATTTCATCGATAATTTTACTTACATATTCTCTCGATTCGATACATGCACAATGTAAAAAATACTGTCTAGTATGAACACCATGCCGTGAGAGAAATTTTTGTTTATTAATTGAGAATTTGTTTTATTGCCCTATGTTCTTTGTACATAAATATATTAAGCCTCGGTATTTATTCTAATAAAATTTCATTGTGATTTTTTTATATTTATTAGTAAAAATAAATATAAATATTTGTGATCATTGGTGGTTTGATACCTTGTCGTTTCGTACTGAAAAGCAAAATGAGGTATTGTCCATTTTAACTAAATTTAAACAATATAAAGTAATTATTCTCATAAATTCTCATTATAAATATATACACACGATCCTTTGGTTGTTACAGATGAAGGGTTAAACCACTTTAGAATACTTTTTTGACATAATTTTCAATCAAAAAACCATTGGCTAGGCTGGAATTCGAACCCCGAAACGCTAGCTTGGCAAGAATGCGTCGGACGCCATAAACATTGTAAAATATAAACGTCATATGTGTGGTGATTATTCTGGCACTGTTAACACGACACGCAAGAATGAAACAATTACGCAGAAGACAAACACTTTGTGCTCTGAAGATGATCTCAATAAAGATCGAAACGTTGGCACGATAAAGAAAATGTTTTTCTGAAACCTACATCACACCAGACCGCATCTCACGATTTCTAAATAAATATCGATTAACGGTCACTAATCACCACACGCTTATTTAACATATTTGAATGGAAGAATAAAAGGATAAGATGAGTCTATACTTATGCTGAGATTGTTGCCAGTCTGCCTCCATTATTATTATTATTATTGGCCATACAAGCCTATGGGAAATGTTTAAATTATGGAAAAAAAATTCAAAATTCTAATTAAAGAACAGGAACAAATGGTATAATTTAAAATGGTATTTTGCATACGTTTTACGTCCAAATTAAGAATTTTAAAAGGATAAATTAAAGCTTCGGATGGCAGTAGGATAGTTTAGTTTATGAGTGAATGTTCGGAGTCAGAGCTTTTTAGCGCTCAGAAGGGATAGTTAGGCCTGTGTCCAGGGGTGTCTTTGGCTCTACAGTACTAACCTACTGATTACTGTTAATTACGCTGTAAAAGCTCAATTCCTATTTTTAAAAATGTTGATCGTACACACATTAAAAACTACCGGCATTATTTCTCATATATCTAAGATCAAATCTTATGCCATAACCTAATCCCCATTATAAATCTGTCAAATATGTAATAAACCCAATTTCCATTAAATTGAAATAAATCCAAAATTCATTGATAACAACATCTGCATAACTCAAGGCAGTTTCCAAACATTCAACTTTAATATTTTAGTTCTTCTTTGCTTTTCTTTTTGAATTGATTAACAGGAGTAAGGATAGGAAGAAAAATGGCTAATGTTTTCCCCGTTTAAATTATTAATTGCCGATGATTAATACCGAACCTAAATAAAGACTTCGATTACCAATAATTTACCAACTGTCGTATTTAAAATTGTAAATTTATATAGTTTGCCTTATTTCATTTCTAGCGAATAATTGCACAATACATACGTTAAACAATAAATTAATATTAATAGTTGGAAGTGGGATGAAATGCCAATGTAATGTTGTAGAGCCCTGATGAAGATCAAATAAAAAGTGGAAAGCTTGGCAAAATTATAATAATAATTAATTCTTAAAAAGACCACATCCCTGATCTCCTAGCATCAACGTCTGTTCAGAGTTGGTTAAATGTCATCATCACTATAAAAACATCACATTACAAAATTATAAAATATACAATGATTGCAACGACCAAAAAGTTAAACTATGTTCTCTTTCTTTCAACTGATGAAGAATAGATAAATTCTGAACGCTAGTTAGACAAAAATATACAGAAAAAATGGTGCTGGTGAAAATCAAATTGTTGGAGAATCGTGATTTTTAAAATATGTAATTAGTTTTCAATGTGAATAATGTGAAAACAGGAGTTAGCCAATTTTTCTGGAAGATACCCATCAACCTTCTTGAGCATCTTCCATCCATTTCCAATCAAACTTTTCGAACATATTTCAGCATACTGCGTGTATCAGTGTTGCTATAGAAACGCTTGTTTAGCCCTTACGACCACGTGGGGACCGGCCTTCGCGGCGGAAATGTTGCCGGAAACCCATGGTGGTGGGGCCCGGCCGAGAGGGAGTCTCTCCCCGTGAAACAGACTCATGCCAGTGCCAGTCTCAGTTATGTTTCTGCCACTCCAGCAAACATGCACCAAGCTGTACACAGTGAGTCAAATCGTTTCTTGAACAATATTTTACTCAATATATGTAGACATTGCAAGTCAATCACCAAGAGGTCTGACACATGTTTTCTCGACTGTGATTAAATTATTTCCAAACATTTTGGACAAATTTGAAAAATAATTTACATACATTTTTTAAAAAAAATACTATAGCATATATTAACTTTACTTTATCGCCTTATAAAAAGCGTTATTTGGAAAATGGATTGTTTATTAAATTTCCTAGGATTTTAAATTTAAGTATATAAGATTGATTAAGATCCCTATCTAATATTTGATTTCCTCTTGATAAAATCTTTGTATGTATCAATTTATTACCGATACATATTTTTTTATATTTTCAAATCTGACAAATTTTTTCCATTACATATACTGGCCAGATTTTAACAATAATCCATGCAATTTATTTGCTTAAACTTACACAATTGAAACAAATAGCTCGAAAAATTATCCTTTTTAAAACTATTGTAGCTTATAATTGCTTATAAAAATTGTTGATAAATCGATCGTTCTCAGACGACCTATATTTAAAATTTCATTTTCAACCTACATGATTCAAGGCAGTTTCCAAACACCCTTCTCAAATATTTTATTTCCTATATGAAAAATTTTTATATAAATCATTCTACATACATTTTTTTTTAAATTTCAAATCGGGGGAACTATTTCTCATGTATATATAACCGTCGGGGCAGATTTTAATAATAATCCCTGCAATATACTAGCATAATACACAAAATCAAAACAAAAAGCTCAAAAGTCATCCTTCAAAAAAACTATTTTATCCAATAATTGCATATAAAAATTTTGAGAAATCGATCGTTCTCAGATTCCTTTAATATTTATTATTTAATTTTCGACATGCATGATTCAAGGCAGTTTTCAAACACCCTTCTCAAATATTTTATTTCCTATATGCAAAATTTTTATATAAATCATTCTACATACATTTTTTTTTAAATTTTCAAATTTGGTAAACTGTTTCTCAGATATGTATAACCTTTTGGACAGATTTAAATAATAATACCTTCAATGTACTATCATAATATACAAAATCAAAATAAAAAGTTTGAAAGTCATCATTTAAAAAACTATTTTAGCCTATAATTGCATATAAAATTTTTGAGAAATCCATCATTCTCAAACTTCCTATATTCAAAATTTAAAATTACCTATCGATCTACTTAATTTCTGGCTGTTTCCAAACATTTTTATCTAATGTTTTATTTCCTATTTACAATTTTGTTATTATATAAATATGTTTATTTCCTTTAAATACTTATTATTTCTTTTCAAAACAAATAAACCATTTCACACGTGTGCACAAATTTTTAGGCAAATTTCAACAATAATCCCAGCAATCTACTAGCTTAAACACACAAAATTAAAACACAAAGCTCGAAAATCATTCTTTTAAAAAGATATTTAGGCGTATAAAATTTTTGAGAAATCGATCGTTCTCAATCTTCCTATATTTAAAATTTAATCGTCAATCTATATGATTGAAGGCAGTTTTCAAACATCCTATTAATTGATTATTAGTATTTTTTTTATTTTCTCTCTAAAAACTATATAAATATGTTTATTACTTTTATTATTTTTTTTAATACTACTTTTTTAATTTTAATATCTAAAAACTATTTTTCTATATGTACACAACTTTTTGGAAAGTTTTTTAAAAAAATCCTTGCAACCTGCTAGCTTGAACTCACAAAATTAAAACAAATTGCTAGAAAATGCTCCTTTTTAAAAAAAAACAATATCTATAAGAATATAATTGCTTAAATAAATTTAAAAAAAATCGATCGTTCGCAGACTTTTTAGTTTTAAAAGTTTAATTATCAATCTACATATATCAAGGTAGTTTCCAAATATTCTTCATTAAAATTTAATTTTTTCTTTGTCTTTATTTATGTAATTAATTAACAGAAGTAAATGCGCCATGCGAAGAAAAATGGCTAATGTTTTCCCCCGTTTAAATCATTAATTGCCAAGAATTAATACCGAACCCAAATAAATTCTTCGTTTACTGAAACAAATAAAAGGAGTAGATATAAAAATTTGAATAATTTACCAAATTTCGAATTTAAAAATATAAATTTTTATAGTTTGCTTTATTTCATTTATAGCGAATAATTGCACAATACATACGGTAAATAATAATAATAATAGTTGGAAGTGGGATGTAATGAGAAAGGTTTATGGGTGTCATTGATTTCTTTTAATATAGTATTATGCAGAAAATGAGAGCGTCCTATTTTTCATGTCGGTCCACAACAATCTTTGTTTGATTACGTACATTTCCATAATTATATGATATAACGCTTAGAAGTCAATTTTAAAGAGCCAAGTTAAAAGGTGGGGAATTCGGAATTTTCATTAAAATGAGATTTACCACGGTTCAGTGTGCGATATCTCTCCCAAGACAAGGTGGAAGATAATTAATAACATCGGGTAAAAAAATGTGTCAATGTATATTTTTCATAATTTATCATTTTTTAAACGTTTATTCACCCATACATCTATCTATATGTAAGTATATTTCATTAGTCTACGTTGTATTAGGAATTTTATTTTATGTGTATTGTACAGTATTTATGTCAAATGTTTAATTTAAAGTCCGAATTACTACGTCGTAGTTAAGTTAATAAGTAGCACTTGAGATTTTAGTTGAGTTTTGCGGGGTGAGGAACTTGTAGTCTGATCCGCCTGTCTTCGCCGTGTTTCTGCCATATTCTTCGGTGGATCTTCGAGGGAAATATCTATTAAAACCTAAAAGCCGGTCAATTCCCTTATGGCATCGTTAATTAAAGAAAAAATAAAGTATAAAAAAAATTATATACAAAATTTTAGCCAAACATCAGAATATAAATTTATTATTTCATCCGTTGTTGGATATATTTCAGTTAAACTCTATTTATCACATTTAAAAAAAAAATTAACTATTACAATCGTAAGCAATTTGTTTTTAGTCTTGTTTTTGGTGGCCAAGTGTTAGGGTGTCCGACTCGTATTTGCCACGCTAGAGGTTCAGGGTTCGAATCTTCCAAGCCCAAGGAATTTTAATGGAGAAGAGTATGTAAAAACTATTTTAAATTTTAAATAGGCAGTTGGATGTTAAGCCCCCCTGTTAAATTATTTTACTATTTTTACTAGTAGGCAGGAGAACTAACCACGAGCACTTGTACATTTATATGTAATTATTGAATTATTATTAATTTATTAAATATTATAACTGTTAATATGCAGAAGAGAGATTTTAGAATGATCGAAAAAAATTATTTTGACCGAAAGTACTATAAAATTTGAATATTACAATTTAACAAAATCGTGGGATATTTCTTGCACAAGATCCAGATAAATGGAAATACACCCAGAGAAAATCCCACGTTTTGGAATATAAAAACTTCTTAAGCCTTTCCAACTTTTTATTTTTTATGTATTTTTCTTTTGGCTTGTCACTCCTGTAGTTATTTCTTGCTTTTCTTTTTGTTGGATATGGATGAGAATCTGGATTTTAGAAAAAAGCGTAAGCTTTTCCAACTTTTTATTTTTTACGTGTTTCCTGCTGAAAAAGCTCCAGACTCTCATCCGTATCCAACAAAAAAAAAAGCAAGAAATATCTACAGGAGCGACAAGCCAAAAGAAAAATACGTAAAAATAGGAAGTTGGACAACCTTACGAAGTTTTTTAATCCAAAATCGTGGGATTTTCTCTGGGTATACTTCCATTTATCTGGATTTTCTAAGGAAAGGTTTTTTTGTATGTGTGTTCATGTTTTCCTTTGACGTTTTTATATATACCATTAACTATGCCGGGTGATGTAATTTGGAATGCTTAGAAGATAGAAAAGGATGCACGCAAATCCTGATGGGTTCATTGCAAAAAAGATCGGCGTCAAAGATCCACCGATCGTCATGCTGGTCACGCGTTGGTCGAAATTTCCCCCCTTTGTTTTTCTTCCCATGGAATCGAACCGTACAGGTATTGTATTGTAGTGAGACATCTACTTCTAAGAAAGTAAGCCAAGGTCCGTGGATATATGCGAATCGCATCACTAAAACACAAGTGAATAAGGTTTGATTGTAAGTTTGTTTTCTTTTATGATTGGTTGCCGTATGTGCCTGGTCAATATATAATTATTTAAAGTGCAGTGTTGTAACCAAATGGATAATTCTATAAAGACAACTTTTGACAAAGCTATTCCTATGAAAGTTGGATACCTCTTGTAAATTTATTAGCAAAAGTTTTCTTTGTCTGTACATGAAAGTTATAAAATATTTTTATTTTAATGGATCAAAGTATACTGCACATAAATTTTAAGTATTTTAAAGAAAAATCATTTTACTCGAATTAATAGAACAGCTCATATCCGCACGGCTAAGGTTTCAAATTCATTGCCAAGGCCGTCAGAAATGGCCTAGGTTCAGTCCGTCCCCCCACAGATTGATCAATTCGGCAAAGCAATTTTTATAACTAATCTCTGGATTAGCCGTTCAAAAATGCGACAAGAAAAATCAAAAATCCCGTAGCTTTGTATTGATCTTTTGTTTTTACTTTTGACAATGTGAAAAAAAATCGCTCAATGTTACACTTAATGCCTTTATCCCGAACAAACCTGATCATGAGGTCGACAAAATAGCCGTTAGCCTTATCCGAGATCCCGATGACAAATTGTTTAATAAATAGACATAAATTTAATTTATTTTAAACGAGTGGGCACAGTGGAAAAACAATTTATTCTATTCTCTCGTGTGTCACTCCTGTTAAATTTGTTGTGTGGAAGGAAGTGGATAATCCTACGATAATGGATACGAATTACATCCGTTCAATTTGTAAAAGTTCCATGCGAAAGGTAAAAGTTCATAAAAAATAGATGTTTTAATTTGCTAAAAGTTCGATGAATAGGGTTTATATTTTGATCCTGTTACTTTCATTGTCAGTCCTGGTCCGCCTAGTCTCGCTTTATGCTTCGGACAAACA